GCAGGTTGGATTGGTAAAAAATGTATTGAACGATTTAATTGTGATGAATGTAAAAAAACACTTTTAAAAGATGATGTTGATTTAAATGACAAAAATCAGTTACTTTTAATTAATAAAACATATGCCAATATTGAAATACCTACATTAAAGTCTCCCACCGATTTTTTATATAAAATAGTAGATACATCCTTGACAATATTTGAAAACCAAATGGACAGTATTAGTTTCAAAGAAAAAGTCTTATACACTCTAATAAAAAAAATTGAAAAAGAAATTGATTATTCTACATTTCACCATAAAGAACATTTACAATACGTAATTGAAAAATTAATAGAAACAAAAATTTATGATTATTGTAAAAAAAGGAAGAAGTCAATGAGAGAAAAAGAAACAATGAAAATTAGAATAATGCAACATAATTGATAGCTCTGGGCGGAACCTTTTTTAAGTTTGTACCATTTCTATTGTCTTAGATAATGTTATTACATTTTGTGAATAAACCAGTTCTTCACTCATGAAAAGGTTTTTGTTTTATTTATTACATTTACAAAGATGAAATTATCACCGGTAATAACTCACCCCCATATATAAATATATATAAATTTATCATAATTGTCAGTGTTAATTGTTAATCAAAAACATTAAAAATTGATTAATTGTTAATTGTAGATATAGGCGATTAACGATTGATCAATTTAATTGTGGTTTAATTAATTTAATTAAGTTGTTTGTTAATTGTGGTTCTCGCAACTATTGTCAATCTTTAATTGCCAGAACAATTAAATTTTGCCCGACACTGCTATATACAAAGGGCTTCCCCTCGACTATTATGTATGTGGGGACTTCCCGTACTTTTAATATTGTATAGATAGGATATTTTGCTGCTGCTTATTGCTGACATTATTTTGTTTTTAAAAGTAAGTAATACATGTATTGCTATACCGAAGACTTCTAAATGAAGCGTCACCGAAAACCACATCCAAATTGGTTCAGCCATTATGGAGATTAAGCATGTGCAAATGCACCGAAAAATTATAAAAATTTATATTATAAGTTATGTAGCATGTCTTCAGTAAGTATTGACTTTTAATTAAAAATATGAAATGTACAGACTCGGCTTCTTTACGACTTATTACAATAATAATTATTGTATTATCAGATTATCACGGAGTAGGTACTTATATATGTCGTCGTCGGTGTTAAGGTAAAAGTAATCCTCCCCTATATTGAATAGGCGTATTATTTATTGAAAGAGTTGGTACAACATTGACGACAAACTATTATTTCATTCATTGCCACAAATGATTGTCTCGAAAAATAGTATTGTAGTTGTGTTTTTATTATAGGTACTTATACTTTAGCCATTTTAAAAATAAGAATGAGTCTATTGTATATTTTGGAAAGTTTAGAAAATAAGTGGTAAAAAAATAAATTTTAAACGCGTTGATGACGAAATGGGTATCTCCATACTAAGACAACATTCAATACTTTAGGCAAATTATTATCTCCCTCAATTCGATCACTGTGGATGCGAACGGTGCGATTTATTCAAACGTCAAGGCCTCGCCACAAGTGCAATAACCTTAACAAAAAATATAACAGGTGCCATCTGTTGGCCTTCTCAAATATTATTACAATCGCATCGTGGGTTTATGTGGTACCATCTATTGACCACCGATCAGAATCAAAATAAGCGTCCGAATAAGCGGAGTTATGAGTGCGACATTTTCTTGTATGAGATTGAGTATCTGTACTAGTATAGTATTGTATTATCTGTGTTATTAGCAATACTGATACTAGCGATATCTAGTTTAATAAGACAAGTAGTGTAGCTTGTTCCTACACGTTGCTCACAGCGCAGGGTTGTCATATTATTACATTCGTTGTACCTACCAGTTGCAAAACATAATTGTGCTATATTGAAATAACCTTTGTCTAATGCAGTATTACGTGTTGATATTTTCATACCACCATCGTGGATTAATATCTCTATTATGCGAGTTTGTATATACATAACATTCATAAATGAAAAAAATTATAAATTTGATGTAGAAAAATATTTTAAATACTTTTTCATCACACTTGCACGTAACTAGTAAGATTGCATGCAGGCTAACTTGACTATAATGCCCCAAACAAAACCTTCGGGCCTTTTCTCCTCTCATTACCGACCACGGCAGTCCACTAACTAAAATGCGGTTAAGTGACAAATGGTCAAATATCCGTTTTAAATAGCAAAAGATAAGAGTACAAACTAAACAGTAAAAACTAGTTAATATGTTCGACTTATCGGAACTTACCCTATCGATGCATAGCTAAAATCGACCCCTCCTACGTAAAGTATCGTATGTCAAAGTTGCCAAGTTTACGGGGGAGCGTTTTAAAGTTCTGAGTTCACTGAAATAAGCATAATACGTGACTCTAGCATTTCTCAGTTTTATTCGGCAAAGGTCGTTACTCACATAGAGTATTATATCCTAGATATAGATTAGATGATATATGATGATCTATTAAACAATTTCAATATTCTAAAGCTGGGTTATGGTTTTTATGATATCTCAAAAAAATATTCTGTCACCTAGCCGCATTTTAGTTAGCAGACGGCAGTATAGTCAAGTTAGCCTGCGTGCAATTGAACGTAGTTATAATAAAAATATCTATAATAGAAAGTCTGGACCGGTTGTCAGCAGAAGATCCAGGCAATTGGCTGTGTGGTCGTCAACGTCCGGTACCAGCGCGCTGCTGAAATTTGTGCTCCAGAAGGTAACCTAGGTAATGCAGATACGCCGTGTCGGAAGGACATCTAATTTTGGTCTCTGTGAGGAAGAGCATGTGAGGCCTTTTAGTCTCAAGATGTTGTTGGACAGATGAGAGATTGGAGTGCAGACCTCTGATGTTCGAGAGATATACTTTAAGTGAAAGGACGTGCATCCGCTTTTAGCCTTCCTCAATTTCCTTGACCTTTTCATGCGGCACATACCCTATATGGTACGCCGATGGGAAACTAGACTGGAGCGCGCGAGGACGCCCGAACCCCCCAAATGGCCATCGGGTCCTTTCATCCGGTCGCCAACCGGCACGATGGAGCACCCCGGGATTTTTCGCGAGTTGGCGGGGCAGCCTTTCACTGGAGGCTAATCAGCTAATTGGGCCCCCTACTACCTTCGGTCAGCCAACGGAGCACCGTGCTTCGGATCCTATCCCGTAGCTTATTTGGCACCACCCAGGGGTCACGTGTAGGGTCTCGAGTGTTTACAGCATTCGGACGCGAGCTACTTAACCCCCAAATGCATGGTGGTATATCGCATGCGATAATGATAAACCTCCCCGTGACATATTTATCGCAGTCGATTTCTCCTCACCTTTTTCCAATAGTTAATATGTAACAACCTGTTTTTGTTTATTATTTCTTTATTTCTTTTGTGGCGCTCAAATTTTACTTTGATAAATATACCGTGCAATGCTGTCAAAATACGCTGATGTGATCTTGCCATGGCCATGTTTGGCATTGCTATATACTTTCGCGGCCATTGGTCGCGGCACATGAGCAAAAAAACATGTGCACGCGGTGCGTCAAAAATGTGACGTCACATTGCTTGACACGTTCGTTATTGTGATAAAATTTCAAAGTGACGGTTTATTACTCGAATAGACAGCTAAATGTGGGTATAATAGCTTTATCGCGGAGGCATGTACGGGGGCTGGTTTATGTTAAATGTAATAATACCAAATGATGTCGGCCGTTCTATGAAAATTTGTAAGGTGACTTTTAAAATTAGAAAGGCTATTTTGAAATCTTTCATTTTTTTAAGTAACCAACGTTTAGTAAGAATGACACAAAATCGAATGGATAGTTCGACTTTGCCATAACAAATAGCCAATACGAACCAAGTAATTGAGTTAAACGCAAGTGGAACATTCTGTCCCTATTAAAAAAATAATCAAAATGATCCAAGTTACTGTGGTGCATTTTTGTTAAAAAAGAAACAATAAAAACAAAATGGTTGAAGTTTATTTGAATCTTATTGGCCATCATATTTCATCGTTTAGTATTTTTAAGAACGATTCAACTTAAGTGGATCATGTCATGTGTTGTTGACTGAGAGTCCAGGACCTGGATCGTGCATTAAAAATATTTCTGAAACAATTGCGTTTTTTTCAAAGTGCTACATACTTATAATTTCGCCAATATTAAAGATATCGACAAGTCTTTCTGGCATGAAAGAATAGGCTACGGTGAATCACGTGGTATACTTAACTCATTTTCGCCCTAAGTGTGACTTGGATCTTTTTATTATAACTACGTCCAATTATACTATTTACATGCAAGTGTGATGAAAAACATTGTATGTTTCTTAGACGGTAAGGGAATTACGAACTTCAACTCCGAAAGCCCCCGATCTTCGACTTCGGGCTTCTAATAGAGGCTCGTCCATAATTCCTTATTTACCGCCCTTTTTACACAATGCACTATGAACATCGACCGAAAACGGTTTTATTCTAAAACGCGCGGGTGGCCCTGTGCAACTCTAGTGCACCGCGAGATTATGTGAATGTGTGCATCCGTACACAGCGCACGGCGTGTACACACAATCAGCGCTGCTACGTTTTCATGGATTTACACTACTTGTTTTATTATACCATGCTTGTACAGCAGGCGTGATAATAAACAATGTATACAAAAAATACATTTGAAAGTGGTCATGAGAAATAGATACGCGTGTGGAGCGTATACGATAAGAACTAGACTATAAGAGATTATAATGTTGCTATAGTGGCAATGTACTCAAGAATGTAGTAGGTAATATCATACCAATACGATTGGCCAATCTAAATTTCAAAAGCATGTGATTGGCCAGTAATAATTTTGTAACCGTAATCCACGTGATATTAAAGCCCTGTGATAGGTCAGTTTGAATTTCGAGTTATATTTCACGTAATTAGCCGGTTTAAATTTTCTACTGCATTCTTAACGCGAATGAACTCTAACGAAATCTCACCTGCGTGCTATTATTAGCATCGGGGTGCAGCGAGATGACTGGCACGGGGCAGTCCTGGTTGTCGAGCCACATGGGCGCAGACAGGTGCGTCACGCACCCGCTCGTGTCCGGATACAGGTCTGCGTGGTAATCGCGGTAGCTCTGCAATACAAATAGTAGCAAACTAAAAGATATTCATCGTCATGTGTCTCTCTGCTGGACACAAAACTCCGCAGAGGAGACGATTTGTAATAACTTACCGCCGCCTATGAGTACGAGTCTTCCGTTTTAAAATTAAACCGACACAATTATTAACATCATACCAGGCCGAGTTGCCCACGAGCGGCCATGTTGTTACTGCATTTTCGAGGTAAAATGTTCGCAGACAGAGTATAACCCTTATAAATATAATAAATTTTAAAGGTAGTATGTAGCAGTATTTATAATTTTACGCGTTTACAGCTGGCGTCGAGTTCTATGAGGTTTACTGAAAATCAGTGGTGTGGTGAGATAAGTCCCGTGTTGGCATGACAACATAGACCACACTAGACTTTTGTAGACCTTCAGTAGCAGCAGAGCTCCTTGTGTAAAAGTTCGTCTAGGAAAATACTTCCACCCTATTTCTGCCGCCAAGGAATAATGCGAGCATTACTGCGTTCCAGTTTGGAAGGATAAGGGTATTGGTGAAATGACAGACACATGGGACTTGTCAACTTATGTCTCAGGGTGACGGGCGCAGATCTTTGCGATTAAAAGCTCTAAGTGACACTGCAACTGTTATGGACAGGCGTGTAGCTTAACACCGAGCACACACCTTGTTCGTCCCGTCATTTGGTATTATAAAAAAAAAGTCACAGGATAAGAAGGTATCAGTCCATTAAGAAAGCCAAGTCGCAGGTAATTTGTCATAGATAAGTAGCAAATAGAGAAACAGTACAGATGTGACAGCCGACTAATTAGCTTATTATGAACGCGGCTTTAGTGACTTATCTTTAACAAATCACGTGCGGCTGTGTTTCTTATAGGTTGCTAACTTAAATAGACTACAGTTATAGTATGTTAAAAAAATTCTCTCACCTTTCTGGGCACCTGGTACATAATGGGCACGACAGAGGAGCCGGCCAACTGCAGAACACGGTTCACCTCGCCTTCCATTACGCGGAGCGCGCGTTTAGGCACCAAGCACGCGCCTTTCGTCTGCTCACCTGAGAAAATTGCATT